TCACAGGTCACAGGGACATAGTGGTGCAGGCCTGGAAAGGTGTTCACACAGTCTGGGCTTGTTTGAGCCCTGAGAAGTAGCAGGCAGGGTAGGTGTCAACTTTTTCCTCCCCTCACATGGAATGGAAACAAAGCTCTGAAGATGGATTTAGCTGGTTCATCTGGGACTGCCTTGTGTCTAACCTGTTACCCCCAGCATCTGTCCCTGTGTCTGTCCTGTGGAACGGGACGCTCACCTTGACCTCAATGCTCTGCCAATGGAGGCCACTCACCAAGGGTGGCCAGCCTCACTGCCTGATGCTTCTCTTTAGGGATGCTCCTGGTCTAGTCATTTGCCTGGTCTTGGAGGAAGCCACAGAGGATGTCAGTGATCTGGGCCAACCTTGTCCCCATACCCTCTCTCCATTAGCCAGCCAACTTGCCAGGCATATTTCCCCAGAAAATCTGGGGGCCAGTTCCAGTCTCAAGCTCAAGAAAGGAGTCAGGTTCCCCCACCCCTTGACAAGGCAGAGATGGGAAGGCGGGTGGCAGCATCTCAGTGCCCACCCCCAAGGAGGAGTTTTGGGGAGGGATGAGCCTGCCCCCCCCACACATTTTCTTGGTGCTGATATTTAGGGGCTGAATTCTTGGCATCTTCATCACGTTTGCTTCCTGGCTGAGTGCCGAGAGGGAGCCGGCCAGGGGGAGGGCAGCCTGTCTGGGACAAGAGGGTGGCCTGCGAGGCTGATGGATGAGTCAGGTATGAAGCCAGCCTGGGCATCTGGACTCCCTCATCCCGTGGCCCGCCGCTTCTTCCTCTCCCACCCTTATTTGGAGCCTCTGACAGCTGAGCTGCCAACAAACCGAGGGAGCTGGGCTTGGGCCAAGCCGTCCCTCGGCTCCCCCGTGAGCATCCTGTTGCCCGGGAGCAAGAGTCCTGAGGCGTGGTGGGAGATAACCAAGGACTCTTTTTTGCTCTTCTCACACCTTTGAAGTGGGAACCTCTTGAGGCAAATCAACAAGAATGTGGCTTTTGCCGTAGAGGGTCTTGAGTGCGGCCGAGGCTGCCGGAGGCAGAGGGGCCGTGACAAGCTCTGCTGTCTGATAACTTTAAAAGGGCATCTTCTGCAGGCTCCTCACTCAGCTGCTTTATCGCTGCAAGTGACAGAATGGGGAGGGTTCCACCCCTCCGGTGCTCCCCAGAGAGCTGAGGGGCTATAAAAACAGGCCGCCCCGGACAGCTGGAAGACGGTGACGACAAACACAGAGAGAGGGGGACCAAGAGGAAGGCAGAAGCAGCCTACGGCACATCACGCCTGACCAACGCCAGCATGGGCTGCTGCTCCACCATCATTGTGAGCTTCCTCTTCTACCTGGCCTTCCAGCCCCCTGAGCCAACCGGAGCTAACCCAGTGTACAATGCCTTGTCCAACACAGACCTAATGGATTTCAAGGTAGGACTAAGAAGTGGGGGGCACCCGGGACTTTTGGATCCTTGCTCTTCCCCCTTGATTTTCTCCAAGTCAATGAACATGTTCCTCTCCCCTATGTTTTCCCTCGATGAAGAATTTGCTGGACCGCTTGGAGGACAAGATGCCTCTTGAAGATGAGGCAGCACCCCTACCAGCGCTAAGTGAGCAGAGCCAGAGCGAAGAAGCTGGGGCAGTTCTCAGCTCCCTGCCGGAGGTGCCTCCCTGGACCGGGGATGTCAGCCCAGTCCAGAGAGATGGGGGAGCCCTCGGACGGAGCCCCTGGGATGGCTCTGAACAATCTGCTCTCCTGAAAAGCAAGCTGAGGGCACTGCTTGCTGCTCCTCGGAGCCTGCGGAGGTCCAGCTGCTTTGGGGGAAGAATTGACAGGATTGGAGCCCAGAGCGGCCTGGGCTGCAACAGCTTCCGGGTAAGATGCACTGGGGAATGGAAACAGGATGGGGAGGAAGGAGGTCATGGTTTTGCTTTTTAAAAGGGACTCATGTAGAAGCATGTTTCTCCTGAGATTTCTATCCTAACTCGGGGTGTGCGAAACTCAGAATTCTGTCATCGGTGAGATCCTGTTACAAAAGTGCTAACAAAAATTGAAAAGGAAGGAGGGAATGAAGAAAGGGAGGGAATGAAGCAAGGGAGGGAGGGAAGAAGGAAGGAAGGAAGGAAGGAAAGAAGGAAAAGGAAGGAGGGAGCAAGGGAGCAAGGGAGGAAGGGAGAGAGGGAGGGAGGAAGGAAGGAAGGAAAGAAGCAAGGAAGAAAGGAAGGAAGGGAGGGAGGGAAGGAAGGAGAAATAAAAGCAGGAAGGGAGGAAGGAAGGAAGGGAGGGAGAGAGGGAGGGAGGAAGGGAGGAAAGAAGGGAGGGAGAGAGAGAGGGAGGGAGGAAGGGAGGAAAGAAGAGAGGGAGAGAGGGAGAGAGGGAGGGAGGGAGGAGCAAAGGGCTGGAGCGAGAACTAGCATCGCAAGCACTGGAGAGCATGGTATTCCTGGGCCCGGTCATCTTTGCATGGCTGACTGTGTTGGGGGAGATGTTCTTTACTAGAGTTTCAGAATCCTGAATGAGTGTGGCAAGAACCACCCTCACCTGTTCTCCTGAGCAGCTTGTTTACCAGTTTGTAAAGCCCAAGAGGGTCATCAGGCTGGAGTGCGGGCTGGTGGGGAAGCTTTGTGCTGAGTCAGTCATCAAGAGGTTTGCACAGTCATGTGAGGCTGACGTTTCCAGGCTACCAAGCCCAATATGTTTGTGTTCCTTTGTAGTACCGAAGATAACAGCCAGTGAGGAAAGGTGGCCAGGACACCATTCCACCGAGAGGTGCAGACTGCAAAGATATCCTCACCCTCCGGTGTCTCTCACGTCACCTTGTCTCATCTCAGTGCAAGTTGTTACTGCACCCTATTCGAGCCTTAGCATCTTGTTAATGTTTCTCACACCTGATGCTAACTGTAAAGTGGTTAAACTGTGACTTCGCTGCCTCTCTCACATCAAGCATTAAAACTTAGCATAGACCCTTTGTTACTGAGAGCTGTTTGAAAAAAATAATAATAATAAACTTCAGCACCACGGACAGCGACCACAGTGTTCTTTGTGGTTTCTTTATTTGTTGGAGAAAATGAATGTTTTTTTTGTTGTTGTTGTTTCAGTTTTTTGCTTTTAGTTTCCTGTAAGGAGCATGAAGCCTCAAAATGTAGCTCCCAACCTACTCTCATCTTATCCCAGCCTCAGATCCTGAAAAAAAATCCCCAGAGATTGAAAGGGCTTATTCATACTCAGATTTGTTCACATTCAGGGCCCTTATGCAACGGAAATACACACTTGGAGGACTTTTTCCTTCACTTTTTTTTCTTTTTGCTACAGCATTCTAGGGCACATTTATCCAACAAAAATATGGATCAGGTTTTAAAGAGAGAGCTGCTGGCGTTAAGGGAATGACACACCCGTTTTCAGTACAAGTAGGCAGTGTTGGGTTTCACCGCTGAGCAAAGTGGAGAAAGGTGTGTGTGTTGATGAACTGTAATCTGCTGAGCCATTTGAAAAACACAGTCTTTCCCAGATTCAAGTGCAAGCAGCAGACTTGACGGGGCTGAGTTAAGACCAGGTGGAAGACACGCAGAGTTTTGTCCCTGCTTCTGGAGCGGATACCCAGCTCACCTTCCACACAGAGCAGTCCTTTAACCTGCTCTCCCAGCCTTGAGCCTACACACTTCCCTCCCGAACAGAACCCGACATTCTAAACACCCGCATACCTTCCTGCCTTCCTCTCTATGCCCTTACTGTCCCTTCCACCTGGAACAGCCAGCACAGTCTTCCAAGGGCACTCGGCAAGGTTCCTGCGGAAGGCCACTTCTCCCTTCCTTGACTCCAAGTCCCTAGGGAAGGCCACTCTCTTCTGGTGGCATCTGTATCTTACTGTTGTGGCACCAGGCATCATGATGCCTTGAGGTCCCTAGCTGCCAGTCCTCATCCTCTAGCCAACGCCTCTTCAGCCCCACACAGCAGGACATGCTCCCTAACTGTAGGTCTGAGTCTCTCAGTATTGCACAGAAACTGGAAAGAGACAAAGTAAGAATGTGCCCTTTGTGGAAGGCCGCGGAGACCAGAAACCAGTTGCTGCGAAGGGGGTGGACTATTTCAGGTTGAATGGTCTTTATCTGGACTTCAAATATAGAAGGGCAGAAAACCAAGTAGAAAGTGGAACACAGGACAGTATAGACAGGAAAAGGCATCTGTCCCCACATGGCTCCCGAGGTCTGAGTGGCTAGGAGGGGAAGAGTGTTGTACAAGACAAACACCCAGGTGTCACCGCAATAGGCCTCCCAACCCCCACTGAATGGAACTCTTGGAAAGTGACAAATGCCCAGGCATAAAATGTCCCTGGAACTCGGTAAAAATGTGGGCATCAACTGAGTGGGCAGAAGGGCAACTTGAGGCAGACCAGAGAAATGAGGAAAGTCTTCTCTCCCACAGAGAGCAGCAAGTGCAAAGAGACCTGACAGATGCACTGACAGCTTGCCACGTGGTCTTAACAGCCATGGACCCGGCTCCGTGTCCTTTCTTCTGATTGGCTGTCAGGGGAAACCCATGGGGCCCATTCCCCAACACAACAGTAAGGCTTTTGCAAGGTCCTCCACATACAGCTCCGAGAAGCAGCCACAGGCAGGAAAAGGTTTTAACAGGAAGAAGGGATTGGTAAACAAGATGGATCAGCATACACTTGCAAGGACAAGCAAGACAGCAGGGAGCAGTGCGTGTCCATTAACAGCCAGGGGACAGAATGCATTCTTAGCAAAGCCATCACCCTACACTCCACACAGGACATCTAAAGGACTTGATTGAGCGTTGTGGAAATATTTACAGAATTGAAATCCTGGGACTTCATGGGTTAAGGCAGTAGCCTTCCTGCTGGGAAAGCTGTGCAAGGAGAAACATGGGTATAAAATCAGCTTCTAGCACAGCACTTTTTACACACTAGAAATCCAGGGAATAAAATAAAAACCAGCTCCCCTAGAAAGAAAGGGCGCAGTGGAGACCAGAGGTCAAGGAGACAGGGGCAGACATTTTATTCTGACGTGGTACAGTCGTCACAAGAACTTCCAAGTGCCAAGAGTTCAAATAAAAAATAAGACTTTACATTAAACAAAGAAATCACGACTTATATACACAGTGGGCTGAGCAACATCACTGCCTGAACAAACAGTGCAAACAGAAAAACAGAAGCTGCGATGCGGACAAGACCAAGGTGCACAGGCATGGGGTGGGGGAGGTCACACTGCATGGGACGCTGAGGGGCACTGCAGTCCCGCAGGCCACTCTGAGTATTGGCTGCCTGGATCGAGCGAGTGCCCACTTCATCTTGGAACTGTTAGCTGAACCAGGTTGCGAGCAAATGATTCCTTAGAATGTTGAGGTGCCAGTCGGGTTTGGGGACCAGGCCTTTGGCCCCACTCCCCACCTTGGCTGGGGAGCCACGCAAACAACCACACTGGAGCTGAACCGAGGGAACTCACCTCTGCCTGGACCTACCACACCCCACTCTGCAGAGTTCTGCTCTATCCTGCTGCCACTGGTCGGGAGGCGGCAGGGTTGGTAGTGGGTAAGACAGAAACCCAGGGAGTGAGGCTCAGGTCCCATGGTTACAGCTACAAGGGTACAAGGGGAGGAACTGTCGTCTTTGGGTTTATGTGGACCGGGTTGGGGAGAGCACAGGACCCCCGTGCCTGGCCTCAGGTCCTCCTCGGTGGTCACCAGGTCAGTTCAGAGTGAGGCATTCACACCCTACTGTCAATTTCCAGACTAAATGGATGGGAACAGAATTCCTGGTGACTTGAACGCAATATAATGTTTGCGAGGGACAGATCAATTCCAACCATATCTGCCCTCCCTCGGCCTCTGAGAAGCCCACGCAGGCTTATGGGGGTGGAGCTTCTGTGAGAGGTATCCTGTCACTCTCCCGACATGGGCAACTGGTCCTCTAAGGAAAAATTAGCAATATTGGGGTCAGGCCACCACGCCATCAGGTGGCATCCAGTTGTGTGCAACAAGGTTTGCCTTTTTGGTCCTTGCAACTTGCTGAACTGTCATTCCCACTTCACGAGGCAGGTGCATGCAGGGAACTTGAGAAACTCAGAACTTGAAGCCATTCTAGTCCAAGGGTCAGAACACAAGGAGAGCGGAGGGGGTACAGGCAGCAACAGATCCTGAAGCAGCTGGCACCGGGCGGTGAGCAAGCCCACCACAGATCCGGGGGCAGAGCTGCCAGCCCCACCCCAGCCCTCTGGTGACTGCCATGGATGGATAAATCTCGGTGCATGAGTATGACACCCTGGGCCCCAAAGCAGCCTGGCCCCAGGGAAGCTTCACGGGCCGATCACCATGCAACGGGCGAGGGCAAACACCAGGGACCAACCAGTCAGGCCAGTGAAGTTGCCCAGAGACAGGCCCCTCAGCTTCAGGCTTAACCTGGGCATGAGCTGCAGGGAGCCCCTTGTCCGCCTCTGAGTTGCCCAGAGGGTGGGGCACGGCTGACATCTGGGGAGAGGAGGAGGTTTGGCAATCTCCCTAGGACTAGGCCTCTGCTCAGGACCAACACACACCTGTCCCAGGCCCCAGCTCAGGAAGGATCTTGAGGGGCTCACGAACATTCTCACCTAGGTACCTAGGGGAGTGCCTCCTTCCAGGTAACCCGAAGGCAATGCTGAGATGCTGCGAGCTGGGACTGCTCCACACGGAGCCTGGCAAACTTGAGTCAATCCTGGGTGTGAAGGAGACGGGGATGGCTCAGAGCAGCCACGTTATGGGGAGGCGGAGAGCCGCTGGCAGAGCGAGACAGAGCCAATGCATTCCAAAGAAGGGCAGGTGTCTGTCTGAACCACCATCCCCATTTACTGCTCAGAGTGCCCAGTGGGACGGGGCTGTGCTGCGGGTCCAGAGGCGTGGCTGGAGCCGCTGCTCATGCTAAGAGTCCCAACGAGGCACGCCTTCCTGAAATCTGGGGACATTTCTCAAAGCCCAATTCTTATACTTGGAAACTCACTGCATTTTATAACTTGGTACCCCAGTGCTAGCCTTGGTCCAACACTTCCCAAAGTGGCAAGGCAGCAGCTTAACCACCTGGGAAATTAGCTGGGGTGGGAACACTGCTCAGGGTCCCTCAGAGGGGACCAGGTTGACTTCCACCTGGGGGCCTGAGCCAACAGTGGACGGCCAGGAAGGACACGGGGAGCCGGGAGGGAGGCAGCAGGCTACTCGCTGAGGAAGGGGGAAAAGCCCAAACTCTGAGGGCTTGATGCCCTCTCCATCCGGGACCTCCAACCACCAAAGCATCTGACAGCTCCAGGCTCTTCAGGAGGGAGGGCGGGGGAGTGAGTAGGGACCGTCAGTGGTCCGGGGGCAGCCCTGGCCGGAACGCGTGTGAACTGCCTGCCCCGGCAACCCTGCCGAGAGGCCGGGCCGTCAGAGGGTTTGGTAGTGCTGCCGCAGCCGTGCCTGTAGAAACTCGTAGGTCAGGTTGTGCCGTGTGACAATCCCGACGATCTAGAATGAGAAGAAAGACCCGTCTCACCAGCAGGGTCCCGGCCGCTGGCAGGAAGTGCAATGGCTAATGCTGGCGCGGCTCAGGTGAGCAGATCAGACAGGACGGGCCAGCTCCCTTCAGAGTCCCCGATTTTCAGATTTCTCCACTAACCAGGGTTCATGAACTACAGGTCAGGGGCATAGATTAGCTCCTTGTCTGAGGGTCTCCGCTGGGCCGGCTACCAGGTGATGGGGTGTGTCTGGGGAGGGGCAGGTGTTCCAACTCTGCTCTCAGCACGTGCGGCCTGAAGGCCAAGGCACAGAGACGCCCTTGCAGGACCCCCTATGGGAAGCACTCCCCTGCCGTGTCTTTCCAGTGGTTTCCACTCGTCACAAGAGCAGGACACCCCAAAGCTATACCCTCAACAGTCAGAACCGGGCAGTGTGGTCCACAGGAGCACAGCTCAATCGACTGTGACAATAGTGGGTATGCACGTGTGGTACCGTGCCAGGGCTGGGCTGCAGGACTTCCCCTTTAAGGGCATGGCTTCCTGTGTGGCCACTTGGCAACATGCCCAGGAGGTCTCAACAAGGAAAGGCCACTGTGGTGAAAATCCTTGAAACAGCCGACCACCCAGGACACCGAAGAAGTGGTGGTTCGGCCACACCATGCGGTCATTCAATTCACAGCACGGGGGCAGGTGTCGGGCCTAGCAGCTCAGGTGCCCGAGTCTCACACTGGAGGCCCCAGGTAACGGCTTCAGTGCTGGGGTCCCACATGGGAAATCCAGGTGGAGCTCCCGGTCCCAGGCACTGAGCTAGTGGGTGGAGTGTGCTCTCTCCCTTACGTCTCTGTCTCTATGAGAAAAGCAAAAAAAGAAGTAAAACAATACTACGGTAAATGTTTTCTGTCACGGAGATGGTTTCAACAGATTACGTGAAAGTCAGGCAATAATTACACGGTAAGAATAAAATTCCATCTTCTCTGATGCCTAGTGTATAAAATGTCTACCCCGAGATGCAAAGAACAGGACAGTTCACCCGTCCAGGCTCTGGGGCCCCTCAGCGGGGCATCATGGCTGAGAACAGGACAGTTCACCTGTCCAGGCTCTGGGGCCCCTCAGCGGGGCATCATGGCTGAGAACAGGACGGTTCACCCGTCCAGGCTCTGGGGTCCCTCAGCGGGGTATCATGGCTGACCTGCGATTTGCGTGTGCTTGTTTGTTTGGTTTTTTAAAAATTTACTTTTTTTTATTGGAAGGGCAGATCAGATTTACTGAAAGAAGGAGAGACAGAAAGCTCTTCCATCCACTGGTTCACTCCCCAGTGAGTGGCCGCAACAGTTGGAGCTGAGCCGATTTGAAGCCAGGAGTGCAGCTGCGTCTGGGTTTCTCATGTGGGTACAGTGTCCCAAAGCTTTGGGTTGTCCTCCACTGCTTTCCCAGACCACAAGCAGGGAGCTGGACGGGAAGCGGAGTAGCCAGGACACGAACTGGTGCTCATACAGTACCCCAGTGCTTGCAACGTGAGGTCTTACCCACTGACTCATTGGGTTGAGCACTTGTTTCTGCTTCTCTACTCATCTGTATTTTCTTCTACAATGAAGTAACAATATTTGTGTAATAAGAAAAAGAAAAATGGGGCCCAGCGCGATGGCTCAATTGACTAGTTCAGCCCTTGCAAGTTCTAGGATCCTACAACGGCCACTTGGGGAGTGAATCAGTGATGGGAGATCTTTCCCTTTGCTCTCTCTCTTTCTCTGTTAAGCAAAAAAAAAATTTTTTTAAAGCAGGTTTGTGATAATTATGGGGTGCTGAATCTTTTAAGACTTCCCAGGGAGTCCACTCTGTTGTTTAACTGAACCTGTCAGGCTGGGGACAGGGCTGGTGGAGCAGGCCTGGGGTCTCAGGAGTCTGCTGCCACCTGCTGGCCGCGGCTTGGAACATGCGCGAGGCCCTGGGGACCCTATCTCCTGGGGGTGGGCACAGCAGGCTCTCCTCCCAGTCCATTTGTTTCCCACCCGCCCGGGTCGACTCACCTCTCCCACGGCATTCACCACCGGCAGGTGGCGCAGGCCCATCGTCCTGAACAGGTTGAAGACTTGGGATACGTGGGTGTTAGGCGAGACGGTGAAGGGCGACGGGTTCATGTACGGGGTGACATCCTGAGGAACAGACAGCGTCACTCACCTGTGGCCTGAGGGCTGACGGCCCAGACAGGCAGGGGGACGGGCGGGCCGGCCCTGCTCACCACTATCATGCGTGGGTTCAGCAGGGTGAGGTCCAGGTCATGGATGTCGGGGAAGCGTGGATAATCCTCGGCCATCTCGGCGTAGGAGAGGCGCGGCTGGCTGGCACTCTGCAATTTCAACCCACACACGGCCTGGAGTTAGGCGGTGGTGGCAGGCAGTCTCCCCAGGGGTCCTTCTGCCTTCACACCACAGCCCTGCCCAGGAGGGAGGTGGAGCTGGGCCATGGCAGCTCTGAGGAGACACCTGGACCCAAAGCCATTCTTGGACATTCCCTAGCAGAGTCACCCTGGGAAAGAAACCTGTTCTCTCTGAACTTTCTGCAAATTTAAGATGTAACGGGGTCTTCAAAAGTAGCAGTTATGGAGTGGACCAATTCCACCAGAGAGACGGGGCCACGTTTCTAAGCCTTTAGTTGCCAAAGTACCCTTCCTGGAAAAGGGTCTTTGCAGATACTGTCAGCTTCCAACAAGGTGGGCACCTGATCCAGTGGCAGGTGTCCCTAAGAAGAGGGAGGCCACAGGGAGGAAGCCATCACCACCTGCTGGCAGCCACGGAGAGCCAAGGACTGTGGGCTGCTAGCAGGGCGGAAGGAGATGCAGGCCAGACTCTTCCAGTGCCTCCCAGGGACACCGGGACCCTGAGGTCACTTGGAGTTTATGCAATGAAAGAATCAATCCGCCGTCTCGAGTCAGCCGGAGTGCAGATGTTGATGCAGCAGCTGCAGGATGGTCCCTGGGCAGGTGGGCCCGTGCCACAGGGCTCAGGCTGGGCACACTGAGTAGCGGCTCCCACCCAGTCTGAGCCTCAGATCCACGGATGGAACACAACCGCCCAAGCCCCCTGCAGCCACTGGGGTACCCTGCTCCATTCCAGCCACGCTGCTCCCCTCACCCTCGGCCTGAGACCCTGTTGGTTCCAACCACGGGGACTGCTTCTCTGCTGGCTGCCTCCATGTCCAGAAGCCCACCTAGGAGTGTCACCTGGAGCCCAGGGCCCTGGGTCTCCGAGTCTCCTCCCACAGACAGTGGGATGTAACAGAAACCACCTGGACACCACATCCCCCCAAAATAAGAGAGAAGCAAGAGGCCAGTGCAGGCGGCAGAAAGAATGGTGTCTCTTTTGGACAACACTGGTGAGAAAGCTTACTGACTCCTCCCAGAAATTAAGACTCGGAAATTTGATTAAGAGCCTGCAGGCCAGAGGGGACGGCTGGCCAATCTCCCTCGGCTTCATCAACTCGCTCGACGACACCGGCAGGAGCACCAGGCTGCAGCCCGTGGACACAAGCGCACAGAACCAGCTCTCCCCCCCAGGACACGGGTCCCTCCCGCCTGGTGGGACCAGCAGAGACTCACCGACTGACTTTCAGAGTAGCACACGCCTCGCACAAGCAGGGTGACGAGCTGCGAGCGGAGGATGAGGCCGTGGAAGGTCAGAGGGCGGAAGCGTTCCTCCATGGTCCAGTCTTCGCTTGGGGACTGGTCAGGGTACAGGTTGGGGTACGGAGTGTATCTGTTACACAAAGACCAGATGCTGCTTCATACACCTTGTGGGACCATACCGCACCTGCTCCCCATCTGCTCCCTGTGCTCCTGGGGAGGAGCTCACCTGGGGAGGGGCTCACCTGGGGGAGGCCTCACCTGGAGGAAGGGCTCACCTGTGGGGGGACCTCACCTGGGGGGTTCCTCCCTGGGGAGGGGCTCACCTGCGCTCCAGCATCTGCTGGAGGAGGTCGTCCTTCTCGGCCGGCTCCTCAGAGGCCACATGCTCATCACACACGTTGCGCAGCTCGCTCGATGGGTAGGACTTCATGGACTGGCTCCGTCGGCGCTGCTCGCCGGCCCGGGTGAGGATGCTGGACTTCTGTGGGCGGCAGGGGACAAGGACGGGGATGCCACAGATTGCTGCACACAGGGACATGAACACAGCAGTGCCCCCTGAGCTTGAGGACCGGGAGGCAGTGAGGGTCGGGGGCACATCCTGCCTGCCACAGAGGGACTCGCTATGGCTCCAGTGCTTAGCAGTCAAATGGCTGAGCCAGGGTGGGCATCGGGCCTGGGCTCGAGGTGCCAGCTGGGACCCCCATCGCCCACATCAGGGTGCCTAGGTTAGAGCCCTGGCTCCAACTTCCCACAGATGGGGACCCTGGGAGGCAGCTCTGTTGGCTCCTGCCACCCACGTGGGAGACCTGGATTGTCTCCCTGGCCTGACCGGGCCTAGTCCAGGCCACTGGGGAGTGAACCAGCAGCTGGGAAGCCTTTTTCTATCTTCCAAATGAAACAAGTAAAAAGAGATGAGCAGGGTCCCAGGACACGGCTGTGAACTCCACAGTCACGTCCGCAGACCTGATTCCTTCATTTCGGATCTGGACAAAGCCCCTCAGTCCCCGAGAGGGAAATGAGCCCGCACTGCGCCCCATCTTGGCAGGACATCAATCAACGGGAGGCAGCGTTCAGCACGAGGGAGGCAATGGCATGTGACTGTCACACAGGTTGCAAAGCGGGGGTGACCCGAGGACACAGAACAGCGGGTACCTGTTCCTTGTGGGGTGCAAGGGCGTGGTCAGACCCTGGACCCACATACCCAGAGCCTGCGGGGTTATGGCTTCTTTCTGTCCCAGAGCTCCCAGCTGATTTGCTTTCCTTTCCTAAGTGGGTCAAAGTTTGTCTCTCTGGCTGGCAATTCCAGAACCCTCCCTGATACCTGCACACAGATGATGATGAATAATGAAATCTGCTGACGTGAAATAAAGGTCTATTCCCATGTTTGCTGCAAGAATGAACACACACATTAGGGTCTGACAGCTGCTTCTCGCTGTGGAATCCACACTCACTGGGGCAGGGAGTGTAGGCAGGGCTGGCTTTCCCTGCAGCTTCCCCATGTCGCCTCCAGCTTAGGGGTGTGGGGGACGACAAGCACGAGGCAGGAGCGCTGAAGAACCACTGGCCTTTTCTCTCGGGCTGTTCCATTACCTTAAACTTGATGTTGTTGCTGATGAGCTGGTTGCCCTTCATGAATTCCTTCTCATTGCCTCGGTTCTCCGTGACCACCGGGAAGGCGTGGTGCACCGTGGTGCGCAAGATGCTGACCAGGGACTGGATGCGGGTGTGCGGGTAGACGTAGGTCAGGTTGGGCTCCATGATGTCACTGGCTCGCAGCCTGCAGGTGGGAAAGCCCACTCCACCTCAGCAGAGTAGCTCCAGTGCCGCAGGAGAGCTGTGCTGGGGCTGGGCAGGCTCCCGTCACTGCCTGGAGCACGTGGGCCTCTTTCTGAACCATCTCCAGTGGTTCCCTGAACCCAGCACTCTCCCCGGGACTCCCACTCCTTTCACACACGCTGCTCCCCACACGAGGGATGCCCTTCCCTGCTGTCGTACTGGGTTCTTTACTCATCCATCAATGCCCACAGTTCCCCATCCTGAACCTCGTCAGCTTGTCCAGGGGCTGGTCCTCCTCAGCACACCGTGCCACTGGAATGGCCATGGTGCCCCTGGCATTTAGAACTTCTCTGTAGCTCTTTAGGCCAGTGGATGGCAAACCACAGCCCACAGAGCAAACCCAGCCACATTCACTCACATACATCATCTCCCTGTCATGGCACAGTTGAGCCCGGGCAGCCCCCAAGGCTGTGTGCCCCTGGCCGCTGTAACTGAGGCCTGCTGGCTTACATTGAGGCTTGTATCCTCCAGTCCCTGGCAATGCTAAGCACGGCCCATGCAATGGCCCAGCCTGCTCTAGCCCCTCCCCACCCCTGGGTCCCCTCCTTGTCCCCTCTGCTTCCAAAACCCAAGCTGCTTTCCATTCCCCAGCATACACGAGGACACTGAAACACATAGGCTTACTTCTTCCCACCCAAGAAGTCTGAATTACAGCTTCCTACCCTCATACCAACAGCTCCTGGGCTCTGGAAGCTAGGGATTCAAACAGACAGGAGAGAAAGCCCGGCCTTACTTGTCCATTTCCACCTCCGTCTCCCATTCCAGAAGCGGCACTCCTCGCAGGCCCACGTGGATATCATAAATGCCCTTATTGAAAAAATCTCCGGTCCATTTGGCGACCTGAAACAGAGCCAAGACTTCCACGTGGGCCCTCGTGTGGCGAGCGTGGCCCTGCACCTGCCGAGGCCCAGCAGGGCGTGCTCACCATCAGTGTGATCATGATGGGCAGCCCGTACGTGATCTCATTGGTGGACTCGATCAGGATGACCGTGAGACTGATGGTCATGCGGACCACCCCGCCCAGCAGAGCCGCGGCGCCGATCAGGGAGAAGGTGCCCGAGTAGATGTGGCTCAATCCAATGTAGCTGAAGGGAAGAGGACGAGACGGCGCCTTGGAATCATGGCGGACAGGGACTGGGAGAGGGGCGGGAGGGGATCCAGTGGGCCCACTTGAGCTTGGGTGAGGCACGTGTGCACACACAGGCACACGAGCACATGGTACCTTTTCAGGACGTTGGCAACGAGACGCCCGAATGCAGCCCCACACAGCAGAGAAGGCACAAAAAGGCCACTCGGCACGGAAATGCCGTAAGTCCAGCAAGCCAGCAAGAAATAGAGGACGAAGAACAAGGCCAAGGTGATGGGGCTGAATGTTCCTGCAAAGCAAGGGCCAATCTGAGTACCACAGCAGACGCTGCAGAAGCCCAGCAGGCCCTCCCACCCACCACTCTCCATCCAGGCTGACACGAAAGCGCCCATCTCTGTCCAGGCTGGCATCAGGCGGGGATGCCCCAGGCACTCACCATCCTGGTGGAAGAGCTGCAGGATGGCAGACTCCTGGGGGTTGAAGAAGAGCGTGGCCATGTCATTGTAGGTGTCGTTGGGACAGAAGAACGCCTTGATGCTCGAGTTCACATCTGATGTGACCTACAAGGCATGAGTGAGAACGTTAGTGAGGCTTCGTGGAGTGGCCAGGGATGCCAGCATTCCACACGCGTGTCAGCTTGAGTCCTGGTTCGTGCTTTCTGTCCAGTTCTCTGCCTGTGCGCCAGCGGAAGATGGCTTGGGAACCTGGACCCCTCCACCCACGTGGGGAAGCCCGGATGGAGTTCTAGGCGCCTGGCTTCAACTTGGCCCAATTCCAGCTGCTGTGACCACCCGGGCAGTGAAGCAGCAGGTGAAAGCTTTGCTTCTCCCTCTCTCACTCTACGTTTCAAAGAAGTCAAGTCAACAAGCGGCACCTGTCCAGGGCCCTCTGGAGCCTTCAAGAGGATGTAGCCAACTAAATTGGAAAAGGCTGGCTGATCAACTTTACCTGCAAATTAAACAAGCAGCAAAGACCGATCTACGTTCCCAGCAGCCAACGGTGACGCGGAGCCCTTTGCATTTTGATAGCATTGAGCGAAAAATCCAGTTAAAGCGTTTGTTCAACTGCGCTAATGAAAATGTCACTACAACCCTGTCTCACGGGGGTGAGCCGAGCTCTGCGTCCTCAGCCCAGGCTACGAGTGACTCGTGACGCGGTCGGAAGTCTGACATGAGGAAAGGTGAGGCCAGGGCATCTGGGAAGGGGGAGCTCCTGGTCACCACCTGAGCCAAGGTCCCCCTGACTGTGGCTCTAAATGAAAAGCGCCTTTGCCTTGAACTGGTTGTAGAAGAACACACCGCCCGGCCTGATGTGACACCTGGGGCTGACACCGTGCGCCTCGCCTTGCCTCCCTCTAGACACTGTCTGTGGTGCAGAATCTAAACTGGAAAAATGAATCAGTACATCTCAGGGCCCTGATTCTTGCTGGGAGGAGGAGAGGCTGATGTGGACTGACGCCCTGGAGGGAAGGGTTCCTGGCTTGTAGTCAACGGAGCTCAGGGCGCACACTGTGCAAGATGCGGGTAGAAGTGAGCCCTCAAAGATCAACTAAGGGTGTGGGTTATTCTACTGAAGCTGCAGAAAGACCCTCACAGGGACAGTCCAACAATTCTAGCGAGTGTTTGCTGGACAGCGTCCCTGCTGGCACAACCTGGCATAGGAGCGAGGAGAGGCCCAGGCTGGCTGGACTGGCAGCTTGCTGGCAGTGGTCACAGGCACCATTCTCAGACAAGGCCTGAAGCGCCTCTGCCGGGGCCTGGGCGTCACAGCGCGTCTTGGAACCCGCTGTGCGTGCCAAGGCAGAGCAACAGACCTTGACATTGGACGCCTCTGACCCAGCCTGCCGCTCTCCACCAGCCACGGGAAGGGCCAAAGGTGTTTGGTTTAGTCGAGCCTCAGTTTCCGCATCTGTCGGACGGGGATGACACCTGCCCCGCAGTGCCACACTGCAAGCTGCGGGGTGACGGGATGGGATGTCACCGAGCATGGTGGCCCTACTGGCCAGCAAGGTGGTGGGGAGGAGGAGAAGGGCTTGGCCAAGTACCTGCCACACAAACACTGGAACACAGCCCAGAGAACCAAAGGGCCCACGAGGACCTGCACTAAACAGTTACTCAATTTTGAGTACAGAATCCTTCTCCTGTGTGCTTTTGAATCACACATCAGTATTTCCTTAGAGTGTGCTTTGAAAAAGTTCTGATTTAGTAACGGACTGACCAGGGTCAGAGGCCTCCCAGCCAGCCAGAGTTCACACTTCCCATTAGGCCAGCTGCACGCAGCCTCCACATGTTTTTCTTTTTTTCCTTTCATGCTTTAAGACATAAAAACTGTTCTTAGCTTGGGGATCGCACGGAGACAAGCAGCTGTCAGGTGCTCCACTTAACCAACCTCTCAGCCAACAGGCTCTGGTTGTCCCTAGGCTGCTCCTGGGGACCCCAAGAACACAGACCAAGGCTCTGACAGACGACTGCAGCCACGACAAGGCAGCTTGGCCCAGAGTCCAGAGCACACAGGGCCTTCCGGAGTGGACCAAGACAGAGTAGCGGGGTAAGGTCCGATGCCTTCACCAGCGGACTGCACTCCTCAGGGCAGGGTTGTGAAAGACACCACTCACCCCCGAGAACGGAGACGGAGAAACGCAAAAAGCATGAATGGCAGCACATGAATGGGATCCGTGACATCCAGAGGCACCGGAAAGAGTTAAGATGGTCATTCAGGGCCTGGCACCGTGGCCTAGTGGCTAAAGTCCTCACCTTGAATGCACCGGGATCCCATATGGGTGACGGTTCTAATCCTGGCAGCTCCTCTTCCCATCCAGCTCCCTGCCTGTGGCCTGGGAAAGCAGTCGAGGACAGCCCAAAGCCTTGGGATCCTGCACCCGTGTGGGAGACCTGGAGGAAGTTCCTGGCTCCTGGTTCCTGGCTCCAGATCGGCACAGCACCAGCCTTTGCGGTCACTTGGAGAGTGAATCATCGGATGGAAGATCTTTCTCTCTGTCTCTCCTCCTCTCTGTATATCTGACTTTGTAATGAAAATGAAATAAATCTTAAAAAAAAAAAAAAGATGGCCATTCACCTGTCACAGCTGTCACACGTCCCTCACACCTGTAGCCTGCTTCACAGCCTAGGCAGGGGCCCTTCTAGGCCCAGGGAGCGGTCAGCTTCCTCACACTTCTGCTTCTCCTTAGCCTTGCTCCCCAGCTCTTCACCAGCGCTGCTGCCCAGGGTACCCGGGGCACATCCTCTCGCAGGTGAGAAAACCATCACGAATCCCAGCACATCTCAGCAACCCACTATAGCTGTGGGATGGATGACGAACCCCGTACAGCTATCTGCTCTAAACAGAGGTAAGCTGTGTATTTCTGGATTCTTCTGGGTGGGCACAGGATCCATGAGGTAGCAGGTGCACTGGGGTTACCTGGAGCTTCAAGGAGCCATTACTGATCTGACTGGAGGACGACAGCTGGCGGCACTCTCCTAACACCATCGAGGCCACAAATACCACCAAGGTGGTCACCAGAGACACCAGGAGGCTCTCTAAGACTCTAGAAAGGAAAGCACAGTCGTTTTAATGCCAGCCAGAGGTGCCCTGATCTCGAGCCCTCCTGTCCCCCAGGAGCATTCCCAGCGGCCCCTGGCCAGTCAACACACACGTGCAGAATTGGTCAGAGCTGGGCTGGCTTGCAGCCATGTGCATGCCACTCAGCCGCGGGCTGCTGCAGCCACACCACCTCTCTCCAAGGCAGGCAGCGATCCTCCACGCAAGTCCAGGGCAAGGGGGCCTCCCAGGAGGGAGCCTTTCCACAGGGCCATACCGACCCCACTCACTGCACCACGTGACCCAGTGACTGGTCGTCAACCGGCACCTATGAGCTTGAAGCTCACACACAGCCTCTGGCTTGTCCACCAGAAGTGGATCTGGGACCCTGAGGACTTTCTCACTCAGCTGGGGAAGCGAGGCTGGCGTGGCAAGCAGGTCCAGGGAGAGAGATGAAGTGGCACACACCACGCTCGGGGAGCCACAGCAGGCTGGGGAGACGACTGCAGATACCTGACCAGCTTAGGTTTCGGGTGCACGTTGCGCATCCGGTACTTTGCAAGCCTCTTGTTCAGGCAGTTGAATGTGGCTCCCAGGAGGCCCCCAATGACCCCCATCACGACGAAGAAACCCATATCCATAGCTGTCCAGAGATGGCATTTTTTATCAGAGTCAGAGCACTGAGAGAAGGGGAAAGGGAGGGAGAGAGAAAAACCAGGGTGGCCATGAGCACAGCAAGGGACAGAGAGAAGGCAAGCAGCAGAGCCGGGGCCGAGCTCCCTTCAGGGGAGTCAGGGTGGGGTCCCTTCTGGAGGAGCAGGAGCCATGCCGGGACCCTGCTCCCAGCCAGCAGGGCATGCGTGAGATGAAGGGGCCGAGATGCCGGGTCTACCCCCCATCACAACTGTCTGCTCACGGGTCAAGTGCAGCATTCTAGGGGGAAAAGGGAAAACATACCTTGAACTCGCCGAAGTTCAGCAGTCCCGGGAGCTGGAAGGAACCCCAGCTTCCAAACTGAATCCCAGAACGGAAGAAGTTGAGGGTGAAGGTGGCAGACATGGAACAAAAGAGCTGGGGGCAGATGACAAAAACAAGAGCACTTAATGCGATGCAGGCTGCTCCGTCCCCTCCTACAGCCCACGGCCCTACGGGGCCTGGTAAAGGGAGACCGGGCTGCAGGGAGCTGGGAACAGGGCCGGAAACGTGAGGCAGGCGTGACCAACTCTCCACCAGGACCTCGGGTGTTTTCAGTCTGATTTATCCAGGGCCAGCTCTGGACAGGAGTCCACGCTTGAACGAAGGATTCACAATGGGAAGAGAACCCTCTGTGGGCAGGGAGGGGTGGGGCTCAAGTCTGTGCTTCCTGCCCTACGACATCACCTAACCCCACATTTCCACCCGTGAAGGCTGACGCAGAGGCCACGGCAGTCTGAGTTGGCCTTCACTGTTTGGGAGAAGAGAGGTGAGTGCAGCTAGGACAGTATTAGCAACTGCACAGTGCAGGCGATGGGTGTGTGAGCCCACACGCCTGGTCTCACCAAGGCCACCCAGAGCCCTGCAGTGAGACCCCCAGCTGTACTGTAGGGTGGGGATACATCTTGGAGGTGGTTTTCACTGAGGACCCTCCTCACCACTTTCCATGTGAGCCCCTGGTTCCAGAAGGATGAGCCCTCCTCCAGGCTGAACAAGGTCGCCCCAATAGGGGCCCCAAAAGCAGCAGCGATGCCTGCAGCGGCTCCTGCTGATACAAAGTCTCGCTTGTCTCTGGGAAGAGAAAGAGGGAAGCAGGAAGAGAGGCAGGAAGGGGGAAGGAGGGAGAGAGGGAGAGAGGGAAGGAGGGAGGAAGAGGCAAGGAGAGAAGAGGAAAAGAGAGAAAGAGAAAGGTTTTATCCAGAAAAGAGCCCCCGGGCCATTGAAGGCTGTCCCTCACTTCCTCACCCATGAATACCTGCTCTCATACTCCAGGAAAAGTCAGAGATCGCAAAAGAGCAGGACCCTGGAGGGGCAGTCCTGCAGCTAATCCGGGCCACTGAGGAGCTGGACGCTGTCCACCTCAGTGCTGCCTCGGGTGCTGGGAGTCCATTCCAGAGAGCAGATGCTCCTGACGCCTATGGCCTCCCCTAGCTCCTGGATCACGAGGCCGGTCCCAGCAGAGTGTCCTCCGAAGGTCTCTAGGTCCAAGCCCCAAGCTGAGGCCTCTGAGGCCAAGGGCCTTACAAGGTGCACAGGTGGTAACATACATGAACCCACAGGGCCATAGTGTTCTGAGCTGAGCACCTCCTGCCCAGAAAGGTGGCTCAACAGGCTAATCCTCCTGCGAGTGCTGGTATCGCCAAGCTGGTTCATGTCCCAGCTGCTTCACTTTCCCTTCCAGCTCCCTGCCTGTGGCTTGGGAAAGCAGCAGAGGACGGCCCAAAGCCTTGGGACCCTGCACTCATGTGGGAGACCAGGAAGAGTTTCCTGACTTCAGACTGGCTCAGCTCTGGCTGTTACCACTATTTGGAGAGTGAATGAGCGGATGGAGGATCTTTCTCTGTCTCTCCTTCTCTCAGTAAATTTGCCTTTCTGATAAAAATAAACAAACTTTCTTTTAAAGTCTTCTTAATAATATGCCTGCCTTTAGCCTTTCTCAGTTGGGCTTTTTTCTGCTCATTTTTTAAATTTATCTGAAAGGCAAAGAAAAACAGATCTCCTATCTTAATGCCTTCAACAGCCTAGACTGGGCCAGACCCAAGCTGGGGGTCAACAACTCAATCTGGGCCTGCCCCTGGGGGGCGAGAACGCAACTACTCGAGCCATCTGCAAGAATCTAGAATGAGAAGCAAAGTCAGAATCTGCCCCAGGCACGGACACAGGATGGTGCGCTGCTACCACCGGGCCCAGCGTCTGCCTCACAGCTGGGTTCCCTCTCGGGCTGTTTTCCTGGCCTAAGAGGCCCCCACGCCTCACACAGCATGACGGAATCAAAGGACACCAACTCCCTTCTTGTGCTTCCTCCCGAGGGGAACTCGAAGCTCCCTCCTTCTCCGACCCTTGGACTTCACATGTAGCCTGCCTAGCAGCGAGCCCGAGAGCCTGCCATGGCCAGCAGAACCCTAACACTCTGCTTTTTTTCAGCAAACTCAATTTGATAACTTTTCCTTACCTGTCACTTCGGAAGTAGGGGAAGTTAAACTGGATCTTCCGTAAGGAGATGCTCTGAAACTAAGACCGGAGAAGACAGAGTTGGAGAACGGCCGCCAAGCACCAGCGCTGCAGAAACCCTGGCACCAGGGACCCTGTGTCCATGCCCACCTAGCGGGGGGAGGGGTGCGAAGTGGGGGTGGTGTGGACAAGGAGGCAGAGAGCAGTCAGCCATGTGGAGAAAAGGAGGTGGCTCTGCTGGGAGAAAGCTATTTTCCCTGCCCCCACCCTCCTAAAATCTTTACAAATTGCATTACATGCAGAGTCAATGATTCAGGGCAAAAATAACGGAAAGAGCTGAGCAAAGGGTCGGGAGGAGCTGGCAGCAACTGCAGAGGTGTAGTGCGCACTGCTCGGGCCATGCCAGCACGGATGGGGCCCAGCAGGGCGACCCAGCGTGCCCGCGCAGTCTCGCTGCTGCCTGCCCCGGGCCTGGCCCCTGTCCACCTTGCAGCTCAATTTTGGAAGACTTGGCAGCTGAGACAGCAGCCAGAGATCAGAAAACCAGGCTCCGGGAGGAACATGCCTCCATGTGACGGCTCACGAGGAGGAGAGGGGCTGTCCCCCTTCGCCCAGGAAGGCCAGCTAGCCCACGCAGGGTGCTGGCTCCTCAGCCTCTCCGGGCCTCAGTTTCCTCATCTGAGAAAAGGGGTGATGGTAATGGAGCCCCGACGGTGGCTATGGAGGACAGGGTTGGGACAGGGTTGGCCTGCAGCTGTCAGGCAGACAGCACTCTGGCGGCTATGCCTGCGACTCGGCCACGTTGAGCAGAATCAGAGCAGTGCCCAAGACGATCCTGCCCACCGTGCCCAGCCTTTGGTCCTCTGGCAGTAACGAGGTGACCTGTACACCACCCTCCGTGGCGGCACTGGCCAGCGGCTGTGGGGGCCCTGGGTTACTTTCCATGGATATCGGTCTGCATCCAGCCTCCACTCCTGGGACACAGACAGCACCATCTGCCTGTTGACCCAAAGGGAATCGAGTCCCTAAGTCACGTTAGGACGCTCCTGCCCGTGAGGCTTCAGGGGAGGGCCCACTGCCTTACCTGAGGGAGGCCGGCTCCTACCACGGCTCCACTGTGGATCATGGGGCCTTCCTTCCCCACAAACAGCCCTGGGACAGGGAAAGACTGTCAGCCAGCCTGCCAAGTCTCTGATCAAGAGACCACACTACCTAAACTTCTCTCGACAGCTGAAAACCAGATATGGGTAATGACTTTATAAAACAAAGACTGAGCCAAATTCTTATCTAATAAGCTTTGTTTAAAGCACTGCTAAGGGCCTTTAAGTGCTAGGCCTTTGCCATCCATCACTGCGAGCATTCCATACAGGGGGAGCTGGTTCAAGTTCTACTGACTCCACTTCTGGTCTAGTTCCGTTAATGGCCCAGCAAGGCAGTGGAGGAGGACCCAAGTCCTAGGGCCCCAGCACCCATGCAGATGCAGAAGAAACTCCCAGCTTCAAACCAGCCCAGCTCCTGCCATCGCGGCCACTTGGAGAGTGAACCAGTGAGTGGAAGATCTCCCTGTCTCTCCTTCCCACTCTGTAATTTTGCTTTCCAAATAAAAATAAACCTTATGAAATAAAGCATTGTGGGCCTGGCATGGTAACCTAGCAGTTCAAGTCTTCGCCTTGCACATGCTGGGATCCAATATGGGCACCGGTTCATGTCCCAGCAGTCCTGCTTCCCATCCAGCTCCCTGCCTGTGGCCTGGGAAAGCAGTCGAGGATGACCCAAAGCCTTAGGACCCTGCACCTGTGAGGGAGACCCAAAAGAAGCTCCTGGCTTTGGATCAGTGCAGCTCTGGCTGTTGCTGCAGCCACCTGGGAAGTAAACCAGTAGACAGAAGATCTTTTTGTTTCTCCTCTCTGTAAACCTGCCTTTCCAATAAAATAAACAAATCTTAAACAAAAATAGTAACACAATTTCTACACTAAAATATTAAAACAAACAAATGAAAAGCTACAGTCCATGAGACAAGACTCACACCCTGTCTGTCGTTATACAGCCTGGGAGCCAAAAAAACCAAACCAGCATGGCTTTCATATTCCCGCCTGTTATGGAAACACCCACAGCGTTTCCTCCAGTTTGCTTCCCGGCCCTCAGAGCCTCCATTATTTACCATCTTATCACTGACACAGACAGCTTGCCAACTCCAAAACCAACAGGATGGCGGAATGGCATGTCTGTCAAGTCTCTCTGGTAACAGACCAACAGTATCTCCTTTTCTCAAAAACAAGAGCCCAACCGTTCCCCGGGCAGACATTCTGCACGTATTGCAGGGAGGAGACTTACCTCCAGCCACACTGAAAAGCACCCCGAAGACTTTGCACAGCAGGGTCCGCAGCCGCACAATTCCTGGCACCTTGACGCCATTCAGGTAGCACTTGATCTCCGGGATGCCCGAGCCTGCGGCCACCGGCTAACAAACAAGAATAGGCACTCCCATAAACTCAGTGACTCCACTGTCCTGCAGGCCCACCGTCGCTGAGTGCAGCTAACCAGGGAGAATGGCACCTCTTCAAGGGCAGTGTCAGCTCACCACAGGCGATGACCCCACCTGGACTTCCTGCTCAGCAGCGCTGAGCGGCACAGGTGCACCTGCCTCCCTAACAAATTCCCATGAGTCAGCGTCGCTTGGGACATCAGCAGCCAACGTGGCACCCACTAGTGGGGATTCTGATCATTGGTCAGAGCCGGGCCGGGCCTGAGCAGTTTTTGAAAGTTCTCCAGGTGCCTCCGAGTGCTGCTGAGGCCAGAACCGCCACCCGACCTGGGGCTTTCCTCTTCAGTATCATCAGAGACTGGAGTCTGTGAGTAGATGAGAAGCCACTTTGGTAGGAAATCTATGTTCTCAGGGTAGCTGTTGCCTGAGGCTCTAGACACTGAGAGGGGGAAGACACGCAGAGCCTGGACAGACACCTGAGAGCACCTCACCTCAATCAGGACGAGAAGGCTGGCCAGGAAGACGAAGGTCAAGTTAAAACCCAGGAGTTCAAGCAGGGACAGGGCGAGGCAGCCCTTCTGGCTGCATTCCTCCACGGCTGGAGAAACGGGTTAAGGAAGATGCAGCTCACATCTCCCTGCCTTCACAGAAGCAGTGCACAAGTCCCATAGACTTTCAAGTTGACTATGGGGGAAGGCATTGTGGCACAGCAGGTATTCCACCTGCACCTGGGAAAGCAGCAGATGGCCCACGTGTTGGTGATCCTGCGCCTGCACGGGGGACCCAGAAGAGACCCCTGGCTTCGGATCAAGTCACCTCCGGCTGTTGCAATTATTTGGAGATTGAACCAGTGGATGGAGGATCTGTATCTCTGTCTCTTCTTCCTATGTCTCCCATGTGCGTGATGGTGGCCGTAGCACTAGAGCCTTCATCCACTACTTCAAGAAACAGAAGCAGAGGAGCCAGGACTTGAACCGGCAGCTGGATATGGGCTGCAGGTGTCACAGGCACTGACTTAACACAAGCACTCTGACCTGGGATGTGAGTACCATGGGCCTCTAGAGCATCTTTCATTGGAACTGCACCTAATTTAGGACAACCAGCCTCACCGTGTCACATGTGCCTCATCAACAACAAACATGACAGGTCTCTATGGATGTCTTCCTTTTGTGTCTTTCAGTGAGAATGTAGAACTCTTAAAGCCAAACTCGAATAAGCTGCTCTGCAATAACACGCTCATTGCTAAACCCGTTTGTAGACAATTTCAGTGACCACTGCGGCCCAACGACCACACAAAGGATACAGGCTTCTACCACTCCAAACTTGAGCTGGGTGAAGAGCTGCACGAAGAAGTCCACGAAGAGACCCACCTGTGAAAAGCCAGAGACCCGTCACCAAGCCTCCTTCCCACCTGTCTCAGCTGAGCTCAGAGGAAGAAGGCACGGCCTGCCCCCTTGCGCTCATGGTGACTGGTCAAGTTACTAGCCAGCAGTGTGTAAATGAATGTTCTGTAGGTCTCTCTCACTTTTGAGATCTTTCCTGCCTGGCCCCATCACCTATCTAAAAAACAAGAGAAAGGGAGCCCAGCACTGTAGCCTAGTGACTAAAGTCCTCGCCTTGCATGCACCAGGATCTCATATGGACGCTGGTTCTAATCCCGGCTGTCCCGTTTCCCATCCAGCTCCCTGCTTGTGGCCTGGGAAAACAGTCAAGCATGGTCCAAAGTCTTGGTACCATCTGGGCTCCTGGCTTTGGATCAGTTCAGCTCCAACTGTTGCAGCCACTTGGGAAGTGAAGCTATGGACAGATCTTCCTCTCTGTATATCTGACTTCCCAATAAGAATAAAATAAATCTTAAAAAAAAAAAAGGAAGGGAACACAGGTGAGCTGAATGAACCCAAGTAAACGAAAGGGGGGGGAGATGTGAAACTGAGGCAGAGCGTTTGGAGTAATGGTGCTGGGTTGTTAGGGGGAGCTGCTGAACGCTCTCCAAAGGCAGTTTGAAAAGAAGAGCAAAAAAGTCTTCAAGGATGCTCTGGGAAAAAGCACGGGCATGACCTGGATATTGGTTTGCATGCTACCCAAAGGAGCATCAGTTAAAGGCCCCAGACCCACAGGATCATGGGTTAGGTGTGGGAAGCCTGATGTGCGGCCTCTGGGAAGTGATCAGGATTAGGCTGCTGGGGGGTCTCAAGACTGAATCTAGGGGGCTTTTATAAAAGGACAAAGGGCCGTGGAGGACACACATGGCCCCTCGCTGCCTCTCAGCTCCCTGGCTCACCACATATTCGTTCTTCCACCCATATTCTGCCATCCCCAGCTCTTGTCGGATGCCAGACCAACGAGGTCACCCTTTCTTTGTGACCCTCCAAACCATGAGCCGACCTAAGCCTTCCTCCTGGAGCAGCTCCACCCAGGTACTTCGGCTAGAGTTATGAAAAGCTGACAAGTACAAACGAGCACACAGGCTATTACTTTATTACTTCCAAATACTCACTCAGGCACGCGTGGTTTCTGCTTATTGATCATTAGCATCTTGCATTTCCTAAGTCATCACTTTGATTGACACCCATTGCACAGTCAATGGTAACCCTGGGAAACAAGCGGGATTCTGATACCCCATTCTCCTGCGTGCTCAGAGGCTAAAAGGAGAACTGGGAAGGCTGCTAATTTAATGGATGCAGGATCAAAGGCTTCAGGCGTTTAACTCTGGCCTTCCCCAGTGTCTGGAGGCATTCCAACACTGACGTGCTAAGCGGTGACAGATCCAAGGATGGGACAGTTAGTGGTCAGAGGAGCTAGCCGCTGTTTCAAGGCAGGTGATTGTCCTAGGATCTAAGACACGAGGTAGACGTACTGGTTACTGGCAGCTCAAAGGAGTCAGAAGCGAGAATTGCAGAAAAACTGAACCATATGGCCAATGACTTGCCCATCACAGGGAAATTTGTAACCAGGAAGACATTTGGCAAAATAAACGCTCAGATTCACAACAGATTAAAGCAGCCTAAATTAACTCAAAACGGTGTCCATCCAAGTGTTGCCAAGGAGGCCTTCTGGATGCCTGCCAGTGGTCCACTGTGGCTTAGCCACAAACTGTGATGAGTGCCATGAAAACAAAACTCGAGGCTGGCCCTTGTGCTGTTATTTGGCACATGTTTACACTGTGCAGATCCACCACACAGCATTAAGTGGAGACTCTTGGCTGCTCCGGAGGAATGCAAATACATCCCCAATCTAACTTTGTACTGATGGAAAGTCAGATTGCACATGCATCCTTCTGATTCACTACCGTCTTTCCTGGTTCTTCCTTAACATCAGGTACCTGTTATGTTCTAAACATTCTGCAATTACAAATGTTCCCATCTTTGCCTGTGATGTCACCTGCCAGGTGGCAGGGACCCTAAGCAACCACCCACAACAGCCAGCTCTTCCTGCCAGGCCAAGTTAGCAGTGGGTAGGGCAGAGCCCAGGAGAGCCCTGTTACTAGTTCCTTGTGCTAACAAAAGGGCATCATGTCCTCATTCCTTTGCTTTTTCCTCACAGGGTGACCTCCACACCCACAATGTGGTACTCTACCACCGAGTTCGCAGCCCCACGGACACAGATAGGCCTACAGGAGAGAGGCATAACCAGCTGGGTTTTATGGCTTATGATCAACAAAACATTACGTCTTGACCAAATCTTTGAGTGCTTTGAAAGTACTACAGATACACAACTCACTTTATCCTAGAAAACAAAAGTATGTGAAACCGGGCCAAGATTAATTTAAGAGAAAGAGAGAGACAAAGAAAGAGAAAGGCCAGTCTTGGTTATAATGACTAACGGTAAAATGCTATATATCTAAAGGCCATGGTGACAAGTGACAGATGTCATTTTCCAGGTCAGGGTTTCCATAGGACAGGCTCACCCCTCTGGCTCACCACAAGCCCTGCCCCACGCCCTGCCCACACCCTGCCCATGCCCTGCCCCATGCCCTGCCCACGCCCTGCCCACACCCTGCCCACGCCCTGCCCCACGCTTACCAGACCAGTGCAAACTCCAATTGCAAACACCACCGTCCACTTCACCACCTCATACCAGCGACCTTTCTGCGCACATGGAAAACCAACAAATGAGTTTGGTTTGGGATTATGCGGCAGCAGGGAAGGAACACGCTGTGACCAATCAAGCAAGAGAGCAAGTGGGGTGAAGACACACCCACGCTCCCGGTGCTTGACGGCACAGACGTGAGAAATTCTAGCAGGTTGGGTCAGGTACACTGATAGCGGCTACGTCGGCTGGTAGAATGAGGAATTAAGAAATTAAACGCCAACATCTCATGAGATGACTAAAAGATCAAGCGACTGGGATATTCACTGAAGGATTCCCAAGAGAAGAGAGTCGTCTTCACACTGACTGGTCCCAAGAGGTCGAGAAAGGCAAGACTCACTTTATTGTCCATGGTCTCCAAAACCTCCAGGTAGGGGTCGTTGATACAGCGGTCGTAATCCAAACTCTGCCAGAGGAACACAGGGAGGAGATGTCACTTCAGGGGGGAAGAATTGCCAAAACCAGAGCAGGCACGGACTCTAGGCTGCTGCTACTGGCCGGGTGGACGGACAGAGCAGGCCACCTGCAGCACCTGGTGGCCCTCGGCAAGCACAGAGACCCCACAGCCCTCGCGCCAGCGGTCGTGGAGTCTGTGGCCTCCAGGTACTGGCCAGTGCAGCGAAATTCACACAGCGCTGCTGTAAGATTAACACCTAACCTAGTTAGGGAGAGTCTTAAAATCACAGACTTTTACACTCCCTGTTCCTGAGAAATAGAGAACTGTATTATTAACAGGCTCACCCAGCTTACTTCCTTAGGTGTGAACAAAAGCCTCAATGAACTACAGCTAACTTAGAAAGTATTTTTTTTTAATAGTTAGCATCCATGAAAATAAGGCTCCTCAAGAGACAAAATAATATGAAGACACATTTTAAAAATCAGCGAGTGGGACCAGCACTGTGACTCACCTGGTTAAGCCATCATGTGAGATGCCAGCATCCCAGATGCGAGCCAGTTAGAGTTTGGGCTGCTGCGCTTCAGACCCAGAAACCTGCAAATGCCTGGGAGGTGGCAGAGGATGGGCAAGCGCTTGGGCCCTGCCATCCATGTGGGAGACCCAGAAGAAGTTCCAGGCTCCCAGCCTCAGCTGGACCAAGGCCTCGTTGGTCTGGCCATTTTGGTGAGTGAGCTGGTGGCTAGAAGAATCTTTCTTTTTTTCTCTCTGTAACTCTACCTTTCAAATAAATATATATATATATATAAAGCTTTATTTATTTTTTATTGAAAAGGCAGATCTACAAAGAGAAGGAGAGACAGAAAGTTCTTCCGTCTGGTGATTCACTCCCCTAGTGGCTGCAACGGCCAGAGCTAAGCTGATCTGAAGCCAGGAGCTCGGAGCCTCTTCCGGATCTCCCGTGTGGGTGCAGGATCCCAAACCTTTGGGCCGTCCTCTACTGCTTTCCCAGGCCACAAGCAGGGAACTGGAAAGAAAATGGGGCAGCCAGGATACAAACTGGCTCTCATATAGGATCCCTGCTGAAGCAAGGCAAGGACTTTAGCCACTAGGCTACTGTGATGGGCCCTCAAATAAACACTCTTTAAAAAAGTAAAAAAAAAAAAAAGGCAATTGTGCTTTATGTCAGCGAGAGGCAGGCATCCAGTTCAGCTCCTAAAGCTTGGACATCTACAGGAGAGTTCCTTAGACCATGGCTCACAGAACAGAGCCTGCCAACAGCTTACAGCCACAGACCTGTAGAAAAAACAATTCTAACACGGCCTGTGGGAGCAGCAGCAGTCTGACAACAAAGGAACATGGTGGATCGGGCGCTCCTTCCTTCCCGTCCACACGACACCTCTAGGCCAGCTAATAAACAAGTTAGACCTTGGCCAGGCAGCCACACTCCAGGCAGAACGTCAGCCAGTTACAGCAATCACTCACAACTTACTGCACGGTATGAGCCCCCAGCACATCCACGTTCCTCTTCTACGACAGTCCTGGATGTCGCAACAGGTGACTAGTCATCAATTCTCATAGCCTAAATTGACAGCTATCGCGATAAAATAATGATATGACTTCTTCTATCTCCACGGAGAGAGCCAGAAAATGTCCAGGTTAAACAACAAAAACGAGATGCAATAGGAATATTTTTTTTTTATTAAGATGCAGAATTTAAAAAAAAAACCTGCATAATTCCATCTCGAGGAAATCAAATCGGGATTATGTGTGTGTTAGCATACATAATGCAAAAACATCTGGAAAAGCATCTGCAAAGTGCTTACTTTAAAGATGTTTACATATGGGTATTGTTTTAGATTCTCTTAAAAAAACATAATATGTTTTTCATATTCTAAAAAAATTATCCTTCTCTCCCCTTATTCTAAAGCAAACAGAGTGAGCAAAATATTTATGCAGGGAAACAGGACACATTTGAGCGATCACACACACACACACACACACACACACACACACACACACACAGCCTCAAATACAGAGGCACATTGCTTAAAGAAAAAAAACCAAACAAGTGACATCACACTCTACCAACAAATAGGGGAAAAAAAAAACACTGAGAAATACAAACCGGTTCTCTGATTGGTTAAATTTACTCTAGTTTCCAATCTGTTACCTGACAATCAGCTCCTAAAATCCTTGGAATATCTGGATGCCTGTCTTCGTATGCTAATGAGACGCCTGGTTGCTGGGGCCCCTGGCTAGCTTCCAGATGGGGACTGGTCACAGCAAAGCCCACGGTCTGATTAGGTCGGAGCTCCAGCCCCACCCCCAACCTCCGGGGAGGGGCTGAGGGTTCAGCCCAACACTAGTGGCCAGGGATACGCTCAATCACACCTACGCAATGAAGCCGCCAAAGCGCCCGAACAACCTGGGTTCCTGGAGCACCTCAACCCTGGGGCTGCGGGGAGGGTGTGGCCTCTGGTTGCTCAGCTGCATCTTTGCCTCCGACCCTCCATGAATCAACAGCTCGGAAGGGTGGGGGTGACAAGCTATTTGCCACTGGCACTTGCAGTGGGAAAGGTCTGGGACCCACCCTACCTCCAGAGACAGCGTTAGAGAGAGGACCCTCGGCCACTTCCACTTTGTGTGGGGAAGAGCGCCACACCGCGGTGTCAGATGCTACACTGGGTGGGCTAGCAGATGGAAAGCACTTTGGCTTTTTCACATGTCTGAAATCCAAACAGAAATGACTGGTCCATGGAGTGCCTGACGCTTCTGTCCAATACTGCTGCTATGAGAGCTCGTACAAGGCCCCCAAATCTGCCCTTTGGGACTTGAAGCTGAGAGCAGGAAGTCCAAAGCAGCAAAGGCAGGGTGGGCTGTCTCAAGTTCCCCTCCTCTTTCCCTCCAGGAGGTCCCAACTGCTGTCAACTCCTTCCCCAAGTACCTCCTCACGGGGGAGACCAGAGCTGACTCCACAGCCAGGGCCCAGACCAGCTAGTCCCATGGATATTCTTTAGTTCCGTATCTCCTTCCTAAAAGCCCTCTACTCTGCCTTTAAAATGACCTGCAAATTCCTCTTTCCCATGAGGAGGGCTCAGAAGCTTCCAGACTGGATGACTGGGGCCTGGTTCTCCTACATTAATTCTGCAGGTAATGTCAGCTTCCTTCCCATCAGTTTGTTTCCTGCAGCTCATTTCTCAAAAGAGAAGGCTCTTTTGTCCCTAGACTATGGCTTCAACCACACGGAAAAGGCTTTGGATGTCCAAATGGGCGAAGCTGGGAACAGACAGATTAGTGGTTGCCTAGGGTCAAGGCCAAAGGGAGCAGCCACGTCAGCTCATCACTCTGGAAGGATGGTTGCAGAACTCTACAAATACACTTAAAACACTATTAAATTCCATAATTTAAATGGACAAACTGAATTCTATGTGAATTACAGCTATTAATAAATGTACTAAAAGTGTTCACACTGTGGCACAACAAGCTAAGCCTCTGCCTGCAGTGCAGGCACTCCCATACGGCTGCTCCACTTCCAGTCCACCTCCCTGATAATGTCTGGGAAAGCAGCAGAGGATGCCCCAAGTCCTTGTCTCCAAGTACCCATGTGGGAGACCTGAAAGAAGCTCCTGGCTTCAGATGGGCCCCGGTCCGGCCTTTGCAGCCATGTGAGGTGTGAGCCAGAGCATGGAGGCTCTTTCTGTCACCCTCCTTCTAACTCTGCCTTTCAAATAAAAAGAAATCTTTTTTTTTTTAAAAAAAGTGTGTCATAATCTAGTAGAGTTTAAACAATAGATAAATAAAACTTCTAAAAAGGACTTTTTGAAATTGTATCACCATGGGGCCAGCCAGCACTGTGCAGCAACAGGTAAGGGCACAGCTGGTTAAGCCTGCAACACCAGAATTCGCACGAGTGCAGGTTCAAGTCCCAGCTGCTCTACTTCCACTGCAGCTCCTTGCTAACTCGCCTAGGAAAGCAGCCAGATCTAGAGCAGATGCCCATGTGGCCCTGCCGGCTGCAAGGGAGACCCAGATGGGGCTGTAGGTTGCTAGCGTCAATCTGTTCCTGCCCCTGCCAATGTGGCTATTTGGAAAGTCAACCAGCAGTTCAAAGATCTCTCTCTCGATGTAGCTCTGCCTGTTAAGTAATGAAAATAAGTTTTATAAATATACACCAATGGAGGCTAGCATGGTGGCTCAACAGGCTAATCCTCCACCTACAAGTACCAGTATCCCCAGGCTACAGCATTGGACCCAGAAAAAATTCTATGCTACACTACTTATTTGAATGTGCATACAAAATTCTACAGTAAAGGTTAAAAAAAATTACAGAGAAAATGAGTTTGAGTATATCCTAGCATGTTAAATTTTTCAAATCTACATAATATTAAAGAAAGGCATTAAATACATATACAAGTCCCACTTCTTAGAATCAACCTAAAGGGAGCAATTAAAGATCAACAGAAAGGTTGGCTGCCACCTGTGCAACTCATCCCAGGCGAGCTGGGAGGAGCCCAGGGAGCATTTAACAAAGATCACAGCACGAACACTATTCTCTTGTTTTAAAAACATTGCAGATAAGTCTAAGGTGATAGAAAAATTGTTCTCTGGGGTTGAGGGAAGAACAGGTTAAAACAGTACATGTATATTTGGTAAACCCTCACTTTTGCTACCTAAGAAAAGCATGTCGGCTGTTGGGCCCCTAATATTCTCCATCATGCAACTCCACTGGCCCCTCCAGTGGTGCCAGCCATCATTTCAATGATGCTCTCCTCCAGTTTTCTCTTCCCATAATATTTTGAAGGAAGTCCTATACATTGTATCATTTTATTCACTGATAATTCAACATGCCCCCGCCCCCACTGAGGAGCACACAGGAGTCAGACAAGATTTTTTTGAGGATTCCCTGCCTTCCGAACTGCTGGACTCAGAAGTCCAAGCATGGGGAGAGCGGCAGCACCCGTGGTCTGACAGTGCGTTTCTGAACGGGGCCTCCTTAGTTACTGAACAAG